GAAGCATATAACCAATGTTATATCCTATGAACTACCATTATGGCCAATATAGGAAGATATCCTCAATGGTGTGGTACTGGCACTATTATCTTGGTGATAAACAACAACCATCTGATTAGACTTAAAGCCTCCTCAATAGGAAAAAAAAACACATGCCTAATAGAATAAATCCATCCAAAAATCCATAGTTGAAGTTATTAGAGCCTCTAGAGAACCTATTTCTATCATGTTTGCTAAGTTGACATAGAATCCAACTTCCTTCTAAGGACTTATTCTTATATCCATAGACTCATGTAGTTCTCAGCCCCCCCCCCCAGAAGTTTCTTTTGGGCAACAGTTGTAATCTATTGCAGAGAACCAAAACTGATCAAAGTGAAGAAAGTAAGTGACTATGAAGTGCCCATACCCAAAGGAGACATCTACAACAGAACTCCAACATCCAAGGCTCAAGGAATACCATAGAAGATGAGCAGGTCAATTGTAATAGCCAGAAAACCTGGAGGGTGGCTAAAAATGTGCTTAGTGGAGGGACAACAACATTGAGCACTGCACTCTCAACAATATAGCTGCCTGTACAAGACGACAGCAGGTAATATTATAGCATGGTTGGAAGAAGGGCTCACAAGGTCACATCTTAGTTGCCAAACTACAGACACCTGAAGGCTGCTAAGCGAGTGAGAATTTTTCTAAGAAAGATAAAATTCATTTTAGCCAAATCCTCTAAATGTATTTTTAGTCAAATCTATGTCATCAGTCCTTAAATAGCATACTTATGCCTTACCTTGAATACTGGGAAGGCGTCTTACATCATTATCTATCTATCTATCTATCTATCTATCTATCTATCTATCTATCTATCTATCTATCTATCTATCTATCTACATATCTATCTATCTATCATCTATCTGTCTCTCTATATTACAGAATAAACTTTATTATAAAACTTTCAAATAAAACATACTTTTTTTAAGTAGAAAAATCACTTTATTTTATTTAACTCACAAATAAAGCCATCACAAACCTAGATTAATGTAGCCATTCACACTTGCCCACCCCCAAAGTCTATACACCTCAATAAACTTTGATAAAGTTAAATTAGTCCTTCTGAAGGCTTGGAGCTTTGAGGATATTAAACCCTTATTGTCAATTACATTTTCATACACTTATCCAAAAAATGCAAAAAAAAAATGAAAGAGTTAAAATTAGAACAATTAGCTTTCTGTTATTCTTCATTAGATGTGCATCTTTTAGCTGCATCATGCCCTTCCTAATCACCTAATACTGCCCTTTGTTCTCTTTTATAAATACTATACTGTAACCACAGGTCCATTTATGCCTATCTTGATAAGTACACAGTGTTGTTTAAGAGATTTCACCCAGAGTTTGGAATAGTGAATTTTAGCTTTTTCTCTTTTTCTAGTCTTGATAATCCTCATCAGTCTCATTTCAAATACTAACTTTTAGTATAAACAGGACAGTATGGAGAAAGAATCAAGCTAAACACTGAGATTTTGAGAAAAAGGGAATTTAGCTTAGTGAAGAATTGGAAGACGAGGGAGGAGCTAAGTCTCACAACAATGATGATGATTAATTGGTGTCTTTATAAGGCATTATTTACAGGGATGCAATCTATTGAGCCTGGATACATTTTAAAGCATCAAGAAGTCATTTGAGATGTATGCTTCATCAGAAGTGTTTGAATCTAGAGTTGCTGCATTATAAATGAATTTTAACATAAACATGTGTGGGGAGATAGAATGATATTTTAATATATGAACCCATTACCAGCTGTAGTCCCCAAAGAATATGTATGGTGTTATGTTGCCATGCACATGAATTATTTAGAGGCTGTGTTCTAAATAAATTCACTTCAAAGCCCAAAATTGAGTAACCCAAAATGAACATTTAAAAAGTGCATGTCCATCACACACTTTACAATTGCATTGATCATGAGCACCACAGGCTTTCAAAGAGACCATGGGAGCTGATCTAGTTGAGCACAGTTAGTAATGCTGGATCCACTCCATGTAATTTAAGCCTACAGTGGTTTATACTGCAGTTTGGAACTCCATAGCATAGAGAGTAGATCTTACCAGGGACCACTAAGAATGTAAGCTTACCCTTATGCAAGGCCAAGTGATCTGCATGATGACAGTTGAGAAGACATGGATGGGGGTCATGTTATGACTAGCAGAAGCCCCCCAAAAATGTAAAAATCATTTTACAGTTTGAGCTCTCTTAACAGACATAATAAAAGATGACAGCCTTTATGTTCATGTTACTCAACATGCTTCTGGCTTCAAAAAATATAAAAAGTATATATGTGGATAAAAATAATACATTATTATTATTATTATTATTATTATTATTATTATTTGTAACATGAATTCTAAACACTTGGTTTATATTCCAAGGCTACCACAAAATTTCTGTCCCATCTGTTTCTTGTCCCTGTCTCTGTCACCCTATCTATCTATCTATCTATCTATCTATCTATCTATCTATCATCTATCTATAATCTATCATATTTATCTTTCTGAATTCTGTCTTACTCTTGGCATGGCAGTGGAGTGGCTGTGACAGCTCTAGAGATTATTTCTCATTCAGTAATTCTATAGCAGGAAGACAGGGGTGTGTTTTTGTCTGGCATTTGTCTATTAAGAAGGAACAACTAGCCAGCTGGGCGGTGGTGGCACACGTCTTTACTCCCAGCACTCAGGAGGCAGAGGCAGGCAGATCTCTGAGTTCAGGCCAGCCTGGTCTACAGAGCAAGATCCAGGAAAAAGCACAAAGCTACACAGAGGAACCCTGTATCAAAAGAAGAAGAAGAAGAAGAAGAAGAAGAAGAAGAAGAAGAAGAAGAAGAAGAAGAAGAAGAAGAAGAAGAAGAAGAAACAACTTAAACAAAAGACTCCTGCCAGCCTATGCCAGCCTAGAGACTCTCACCATATCTTCTTAGGCAATCATGACTAGTTAATAAACAAGAAAGGAACATGAAACAGAGGCATCACTGTTTTACAATTCTGAATGAAATAATAGGTGCAGCTAATATCTGCCTGTGGACTCATTTGAAAGAGAAACAACTACTCAGCATGTGCTTCCTATTAGGTGGAGGAATCTTGGTAAAGAGATAAAAACTGGTCATGTTTCTGTGTCTAATGACCAATTTATGCAGAGAACAGTGAGGGGTGATAAACTATGCAAGGACACATTCAGTAAATGCCACACCCAGGAAAAATCTATAGAGAAAAATAACACATTTCTTTGAAAATGAATTACAAAAATCAAAATTTAGTGGACGAGAGGAGGGGTCCATAGACCTATGAGATACAATACACAATAACAATGTTGGGAACTTTTCTGGTTCCTGATAAAACATTTAACCTTTAATATATGAGATAGGCTATGGGTTGGCAGTTTTAGATGCTATTTTAGGGAACTCTGCCAGCAAGAAAAATGAGGTGAGCATCACTGTTTGCCTGGGTCCTGAGGATTTATTATATTGATGTGGCCTGGGGAAAGGGTGTGTGTTACTGTACAATAAGAAAAATGCTATTTCCAAACAATTATGTTTTATGGGTAAATAATATTTTCACAGATGCTGCTCCCTTGCTTCCTGCCACCCACTTCCTACTGAGAGGAGCTTCAGAAGAGCCAACTGTTGGAGAGGTATTTTTATTCCAGTGCTATTCAAAGGAGTATTCCAAGTCTCTTGAGTCCATTCCAAAGAGTCAGGAAGTAAACTTTTTGTTTCTCATAGTAAAAAAAAAAATGTAATAATGGGTCTTCCTTTGGGGGGATGTGTCATCAAATCCCCACCTTGGATGAAGAGAGCTATTTCACTTAATAAATGTTCAATGACCCATGCTGTGGGGTGGTCTGTATGTCAAATTGCTCTGATTGGTCAATAAATAAAACACTGATTGGCCAGTGGCCAGGTAGGAAGTATAGGCGGGACTAACAGCGAGGAAAATTGAGAGAACAGGAAGGCGGAGGGAGACACTGCCAGCTGCCGCCATGACAAGCAGCATGTGAAGATGCCGGTAAGCCACGAGCCACGTGGCAAAGTATAGATTAATAGAGATGGGTTAATTTAAGATATAAGAACAGTTAGCAAGAATCCTGCCACAGCCATACAGTTTGTAAGCAATATAAGTTTCTGTGTTTACTTGTTTGGGTCTGAGTGGCTGTGTGACTGGTGGGTGACAGAGATTTGTCCTGACTGTGGGCTAGGCAGGAAAACTGTAGCTACAGACCCAGACAGCTTTTTCATAGTAATATAAGAGAACTACTTACATACACTATTTTCATTTTTTTTCCTTGTCCAAATACTATGTAAGGAAGAAGTCCAGGGTAGTACACCATACCTGGGAACACTTTCAGGACTGTACTTACTTTATTAATTTGCTTAGTTTGTAAATGACCCTTGCTAATAACTGTAAATTTTACAAATTGGGAAAATTGAAAGTCTAAGACACTGAGAATTGACCAAGGCCTCACTGTTTGATCTGAAAATGGGCCATGAGATATACAGATGGCAATTTTGGTTTATACTTATTTGAATATGAATCTTGTACATTAACTATATATTTATGGAATTGACACTAATAATAAAACTATCAAAACACAATCTGTGGTAGTCTGGTTAGAATATATCATATGGGGGAAAGTGTAAGAGTCAGAGGGGATGGAGGACACTGGGAGAACATGGCCCACTGAATCTACTAATCAGGCCTCACATGGGCTCACAGAGACTGAAATGGTAAGCCTGGGGCCTACATGGGTCTGCACCAGGTCCTCCAAATAAATGTTCCAGCTGTTAGCGTGATGTCCTTGTGGGATTCCTGACAGAGGGAGCAGGTTTATCTCTAAGTCTTTTGCCAGCTATTAAGACACCTTTCTTCCCATTAGTTTGCCTTTTCCAGCTTTGATATGAGGGCTTCATCTTCTCTTATTGTATCTTTCTTTGTCCTGTCTGACAGCTGTCTCTTGAAGACCTGCTCTTTTCTAAAGAGGAAACGGAGGCAGAGGGGGAGTGGATCTGGGGAAGAAGAGAGGTGAGTAGAGGAGCTAGGGGAGTGGAGGGAGGGGAAAGTGTGGATAGGATGTATTGTTTTTGAGAGAAGAATCTACTTTCAGTTAAAAATAAACTTCACAGGAAAAAGTCCCTTATAAGAACAATTCTTCATTTTCCTGCTCTACGAATTGACCCAGCCTTTCATAGCTTCCTCCTTAGTGCCTGTTCATCAGCTCCTATGCACCATGGGAGATATTTAGCATTGTGGAGAAACGCTGGGCACTGGGAGAAGAATAGCATGAAAAACAGTCTGAAACATCAGAGCACTCATAAAATAAAGATGAGTAACCTCAAGAGTAGTGCAATCTAATTTCTGACAGAAAATCGTGCGTCAGGATCACTGCTCTAACAAGATAGCAATAACAAGAAGCAAGAATTTAATAGGCCTGTGAAGAAGAAATACGCGAACTTTTTGGAATGTAAACCAACATAAAGATATCTAAGTGCATGTGAACATTCTTAGAGGAATTTAAACATTTTTTGGACAAGTTTGCTCATGCTTATTAGTGACTCTTTCTCCACAGCCATACCTTTCCTTCATTCTTCAAGGTGGATCTAATTACAGCTATTGGTAAGCATCTAACTTGCTAACAGAAAAGAGTGAAGAATTCTTTAAAGGATGAGAAAGCCCAAGGTGTGAGTTGGTTACATAACTCCATGTGCATCCCAAAGGAGCCATATCTAGAATGGATTATTTCCTCTACTCAAAATACTGTGTCATGGCCACAATCCTTAGTACAGAATGTCTTATATATTATCCCATAAAAATTCTTCATAGCCAAACAATTCATTTAAATAATGGTAACTACAAGGGTACTTTTTGATCAATAAAGCTTATTTGATATCTCTCATCATACTACACAAGGTGATTGGCTGGAAAGATGAAATTTCATTTGAGGGTTTTCAATTACATTGCCAGGAAAGTGGCAGTGACTTATGTGTGATTCATTATTCTCTAGAATGTCTAAGTCAACTAGAAATATAAGGTTCTATACCTTCTATATCCAGAACATACCCACATAAAAACCACAATTAGGATAGCAGGACTCTGTTAGCAAATCATATGAAAAATGCTTTATTATAGCTACATTTCTAAGACCTACTGGCTTTATGATCTTTATTCGTAATAAAGACATGTGGTCCCCAAGAGGTACCACAGTTCTATTAAACTGCAAGGTGAGAGCACCATTTGATAATTTTGTATTTCTCAGATGAATGAATCCAACAGGTGAACAGTAGTAATACTAACTCTGACTAATGGGGTTCATCTTCATTCCATTTGCTATACACAATGCATGAAGATTATCCCTGCAAAGCAGAGGATCTCCTTGGAAGCCTTTGAACACTGGGAAGTCCTGAGACAAAATCTGACGAGATAGTGCAATCAAAACACATAGGGCTGCTAATATCTTTAACTTGGGAACAAAGGTTTGGATAATGTCACTCATTAAGAAGCCAGTAACACCAAGGAATTTTCTGAGAACAAAGGAAAGATATAATAATAAAGGTAGGATGACTTAAAACTACCAGCTTCAAACATGTGAGCAGATGAAAAACCAAGCACTATTACTGGTAGGGATGATGTTGTACTGCATTAATTTGCTTTGTTTTGTTTTAGGGTAGGCTGTGTGGGTGTGTGTTGTGCTTGTTTCCTCTAAATTGAAGTATTCTCTCCTTGAGGGAAGTGGAGGCCTATAAATTTTAAGAAGTTCATGAAATTTAGGAGGTTCCAGAAGCTGAAGAGACTTACAGGACTCATGAGATCATTCCCAAGATATATAAGCAATAAGTAATTGCTGGTGGCAGAAGACTTTGCTGGGGAGCTGCCACGGTTGCAGGGCATTCCAGAGATGAGGCTTTTGTGAGTTACACCAATTTCAAATGAGCTTTTGGGACCATAACACTCAAGGGACATGATACTTCTATAAATAACCCCTCATTCCACTTCTCATAAGAAATCTCAATAAACCCATTGATTCAGGGAACAACAGAACCAAAGTTGTATCTGGCAAGAATAGTTGCATGGTCTCTGGTTGAGGCCATAGAAAATACAAATGAGGCAAATCCATTTGAGAACAGAGTGTCTGCAGAGGCATTCTATCTAATAGAGATACCTCTCCTCCTTGCAGTAATGGCAATAGTGTGGACCCTGATCTAGGTGAAAATGTATGCACTCAGTGATGTACACAGTATGGTGGTGTAGTTTCTTTTGGGCAACTTTTAAGGTTCTGTCTCCTTTACACTGTATATGGTGATATGCCAACTTTATGAATGGTGTCATGGGATTTCAAGATGTGCCTCAAAGGGTTGATGGACTAGAGAATGTACTTAAATCTCTAGCAATAGCATGTGTGGGATGTGGCCTTAAGCAGGCTATGGTAGCAGTTTTGTTGCCTTTATTTTGTGTGGTAAGATGAGAAAGTTGGCTGTGGCCTTCTTCTCCAAATAAAGGACATGTGCATACTATGCTCTGCACTAGCCATTAATTTTTCAGGGAAAATAGAAGAAAAGGAAGGTGAGATCATGTTGACATGCCACTTTTTATGACTGAGATTACAGAGCAAGTGTGCACTAATTAGATCTTAGGTGAGTATTATGCATTCATTCTTGACATCCCCAAACAAAGAATCCATGAGAGCAATCACACAGTAGGAGGGAGAGTCAAATACATGTTATATAACATAATTCTTAGGTATAACCTTTAATACAAAGGAAAGGAAAATCCATGGTTCAGGATGAAGATGAGGACTTTAAATATGATCCAGTGTGGGAAACTCTGATAGAATGCTTTATCTGTAGGATTTTTTAAAAAATATTTTATTTTCAATTATGTGTATATGTGTATATGTTCAGATGGGTATATGCAAAAGAGTGCAGTTGCCCTTGGAGGCCAGAAAAAAAGACTCCAGATTCTCTGACAAATGGTGATATTTTATTTGTGCTGAAATGTGATTTTATTTGTATGTTAATAAATAAAGTTGCCTGGGGGTCAGAGCTAATAGCAAGCCATTTAACAGAAGTCTGGCAGTGGTAGCACACGCCCTTAATCTAGTCACATGGCAGGCAGAGTCTGTGTGTTCAAGGACATAGTCAGCTTGGTGGCACATGCCTTTAATCCAAGTACCAACCATAGAAACCTGGAGGTCTGTATAGACAGGTAGTGATGAAGAAGTCATGTGGTTGGGTTTAGAACCAATGAAAAGGCAGAACAGAAAGTCAATAAAAAATACAGATACACAGGAAGTAGGTCTCTTTTCTCAGGGGAAGGACAGCAGTGGCTGGTAAGCTAAAGTCTATTCACTAGTGCTCTGACCTCTTGGGCTTTTAACTCTATATTTGGCTCTGTGTTTCTTATTTAATAAGACTGTTTAGAATTACATCTTCACTGATGCTGTAGTTACAAATGATTGTGAGATGTCTAACATGGGTCCCGGGAACTGATCTTGGGTCCATTGGAAGGTCATTACATGCTCTTAACCATTAGGCCATTGTTCACCCAACCCCAAGAACTTTCAGTGTTAAAGTATGGCCAATAGAGAAGCAGCAGTAAAAACAAGGGAGTCAACTTAAGACAGGGATAAAGTATGCAAGAGCATGGCCTGGCTCCTCTTGGTCCTGAACTATGTGCAGCAGTCCATGCTTGTCCCATCAAATCCAACATATGTGGGAAGATGGGAAGGATTCATCCATGATAAAGAGAAAGACAGTTCTGGTAGAAATTTGTGTATTACAGAAAGTGAAATAAGGTAATGAATCTTTTCTGTTTATATTTCTCTTTACTGTAATAGAACACATAAAGCAACTTAGGGAGGACAAGTTTATTTTGGCTGAGAGTTCAAGGCAATACAGTCCATTGTGGTAGGAAAGCACTGCAATATGTTAAGAAAGCTACTAGTCTTATCGCATCAATATTAAGGAAGTAAAAAGAGAGCAAGAATTGTGCCATGCTGTTTAACCTCCAGGCTACCCATAGGGACACATTTCCTCCAGCAAAGCTTCAAAAGTTTCCAAATTTTCCCAAACAACCAACTTGTGACCAAGTGTTCAAACATGAAGCTATGACGAGTATTTCATACTCAAAGCACAGTAACTCCTCATCCTTGCTGATATACCCAACATTGTTAATGTGATTAAATAATTTTTCCAAGTGATGAGAGTTTCTCATTAGAGTTTACCAATTTTTTTAACTATCCTCACAGCTTCTAACTTGCAAGACAAATTTGAACTTGTTTGTTGCAGATAGTAGAAAGTCCCAGATACCTTACCCATGCTCTGTAAAAAGGACCCATTATATAAAACCACCTGCTAACTCTGGGGTATCTTACAGATCTGGCAAGCATTTTAAAGAACAATAAAGATAGTAATTAAAGAAGTTAATGAAGTCACCTGGCATGGACATACCCAAAAGCCATGAAGTTGTTGTTTTTGGTGGTTTATTTCTTTGGTCTGAATAGATGTTGACTCCTGTGGAGTGAGGAGACATGTATACTAAGATAAAACTATACAATAGAATCTGAGCCCAAGCCTGACTATCCCAGAACTCACTCTGTAGCTGAACTAACAGAAGTCCTCATACTTGAGCATCTTAAATCATCAAATAGCAGAGATGAGCCACCATACTTGGAAACAAGGGAGTAACATTTTATTTTGGCTATTTGTTATGGAGATAGTTCAGTCATGCACGACAGTGGTGGTGGCTCAGTCCTTAGAGATAGGAATTCTGACTTAAGGCTGTGGACTTTAGTGGCAGACTGAAACCAGCAGGTAGGTGTAATCATTACTAATTCACACACAGTCATCTTTTCTGTTCTCTATGTACCACATTCTCAGGGCTCTACAACACCAGATTTGTATCACAAACTGACCAGAGACGAATGATCCACATGTAAGCCAAGTAAGACATTTAAGCTTCATACAATAACAGTAATTGTTCATATTTTGACAAAAATCCCCTTTCTATCTCAAAATGTAGATTGTAGATGCCTTAATACTGGTTAATATTATACCACACGACTACATTACAGGCCATCTAGAAGATTATAGCTGAAATTGGGAGAAAATAACAGGTGAGTCTTAACTTTGCTTAAAAATTAGTTTATGTAGGCTGTACATGTGTGTATATTCCACAGTGTAGGTCTAAAGGTCAGAGTACATCTTGTGGACATCAGCTCTCTCCTTTCAATCATGTTGATTCTGGGAATTAAACTCCAGTCATTAGTCTTGGCAACAATGCCTTTACCAGCTGAGCGATCTTTTTTTAAACATCTTTTTGAGATTATAATATTATTGCAATATTTCTCCCTTCCTTTCCTTCCTTCAAACTCTCTCTTATGCTTTGCTCTCTTAAAAATTCATGGCCTATTTTTTATTAATTTCATTGCATACATATAGATAAGTATAATGTATATGTACACACACATATATATTCATATATATATATATATTCTTAAATGTAATCTTCTCAGTGTATATAATGTTACTTGTATGTATGGTTATCTAATTCCAAATGATTAGCATTGAAAACATGCACACAAGTAACATACATACATATATGAATACATACAGCTAAGCATTCCTGCCAGTCCCTTAAGTATGCTTGTAGAGTAACAGGTTAAAATTTTATTTATCTGAGGGATATTTATACAATCTTTTATGTAGAATGTTTAGTTGTAAGTTAAAGTATATGATGGAAGTATACAAGATGTCAGCTTGACAAGAGAGAACTGTGGTGACTTTGTGCTGCCTAACTGGTTTTCTTGGCTGTAAAGTTTCTCTAAGTAACTTTACAAAGATTCTCTTTTCTCTTTCACACAAACAAGACCCAGAAAACAATGTGAAATTTGGATATCAGAATCAAATTGCACAATCTGGGGGGTGTTGCTCTGTATTTTTCAGAACACAAGAGCCACCATGACATCCTTCCACAGATGGATGAATAAACTGCATTGTTTACATGCTAATTGCAGTGTGTAGGCAATGAGCTACAGAGTCATAAAATGATACAGTGGAAGCTTAAATACACATTCTTAAGTGAGAGAAGCTAGTTGAAAAGTCTATATTCATTCCAAAAATGTGACAGCCTGGAAAAGGAAAACTATAGAGATATTGGAAAAATGAAAAATAAAAATAGTGTGAGGAGGATGGAGACAAAGGATGGAGCAGTAGAGGATGGAGATGTCAAGGAAGGAGATGTCAGGGCAAGGAACTGTTCTTGGGGCTGTTGTTAGAGAGGAAGTATTATACATTTGTTAAAATACATAGGGATCAAGCACCATCACTGGTATCCTTCTCGAGGGAAAGGACAGGCTTTTGTATGAAAAATGATCAATGCTCTTTCAGCTTTGTAGGAAATGTTTGGCAATAAGCATGATGTTAACAATAGGGGCAGGTGGACTGGGATGGGAAGGCAGCAGAGGTGTGTAAATCAGTATTTTCTACTGAAGTTTCCTCTCAGATGAAAACAACTTTAAAAAATTATTAATTAAAAGCAATTCCGAAGGTGATGCTTATTTAGTAAAGGTCATCACAAATATTTTCACTTTCCCTGGTTCATCCCTGGCTGACAACAGATGTGGTGAGATGTTCATCAATTGCTCAGCTGAGATTACAGAAGAGGCAGGAGCCATGAAGATCCATGACTTTTAACTTCAGTACCTGTGCCTGATCCTTCCACCTCAGTATCTTCAACCAGAAATGTGTGGCGTTTAACAGTGGTGGCTGCATTCTGATTTTTTCCCTAACTAC